CTTGTAATGTTGGTGTCTAACAGGTGGGAAGCATATCAATCCTCTCCTGGGCATTTTTTTGAGAATAGGATAGTGCCAGTAGCCTCTCCTCAAAGCCACCAACTGACCGCAAGGGGGCAAGGCAAAGGAATTGGCATTGAACTTGGGTGTATCCACATGCCAGTGGATCATAGCTCAGTATATCTAGAGCCTCCTATCACTCAATATTTTACCCTAAGATTACTAAGTATTCAGTTGCCATGAATGGTCATGATAAACCACTGCAGTTAGTCCTAATGTCCTGCTAGGGGAGGCTTATCCACAGTTGCTTCCTTTATTGAACTAAGCTTATCAGCAGTGACAGCTGAGAGTGAGATGGCATGCAAGCATGAAATTACTTAACATCATTCTTTACAAGCCATATAACTGCAGAGCATAAAGCACCCACCCAATGTTGTAAGCATATGATAAGAAGTGCAAAGATAAAGTAAAATACATCTCTTATGTCTGGAAGCTTGCTGTGCCTGTATCAGAGGTTTTTAAGTCACTTTTTTGTTTAACCCCTTCTTGACAGGTCACACTGTGAGGTGTCAAAACAATCCGCTCAATCTGTGGCGTGCGGCTGTATGCTACGAGCTGGTGATTCAGCTTGATGTACCGAACTCCCACGTTCAAAGTTGACACTTTGCCATTGATCTCCAGATCGCAGAGTTTTTTTTTTGTTTTTTTTTTAGTTTTCTTCACCTGTCATCAAGGGGTTAATGACCAGGTTGTCAACCTAGAACCTGGTGATCATGTGAGGACCATGTGTATCATCCTCCTTCCCTCCCTCTCTCTCTTTTCATCCTTTTTTTTATTTCCTTGATTTCTTTGTTTTCCTTCCTTCTTTCCCATTCTCTAAGTGACAATTCCATCTTACCATATTGAGGAGTTCAGGACCCATCACTGGCAAAAGGTTGATTCCTGCTTCATTTGCCACCGCTTTGGCTAGAAGGGTTTTACCACATCCTGGAGGCCCCCACATCAGTATTCCGTTGGGTCGACTTGCACCAAACTCCTCATGAAGCTTTGCATATTTGATAGGTTCCTGAAATATAAGGAAGTAATTTTTTTCTCTCTATAGAACTCATACTTATGGTTCATCCACACCACATGCGCATATATGGAGAGTCTGTTTTATGTATCTCGACAAACATATTGATATATTTTCCCTATGTTAGAAGATAATTATCTGATTAATAATAAATACAATATAAAACTCACCAAAATCTTCTCCCTTAATTCTTTTTTTATATCTTCCAATCCTCCAATATCTTTCCACGTGACATCTGGTACCGTAGGAAAGCCTTCTCTTTTCAACGCTGGGATTATGTGCTGTTAAAGATGGAAGAGAAAATGGTCATTCTGAAGCATTCTGTAACACTCCAAGATCATTACACTGGAACAGCTTTTACAACTTCAATGTTGATTATACTACTTTAAATTGCCTTTTGGCCTTGCATAAAAAAAGTTACAAGAGTTCCTTAATGCCCTTTACAAAAAGTGAACCAGAAAGACAAACAGACAAACATACACAGACACTTCTTTTCCCCCTTTTTTAGCTAAAATCAAAATTAAGTTCTGAGAACATTGTATACATTCAATAAAGTAATGTTATGTTCAGTAATGTTTAACCCATTCGCGCCGGCGTCACGTATACATGAAGGGCCCCCTGTGATTTACGTTTTTGATTGTTTACAGACATAGATGCTCCACTGCACTTGTACTGCCTGTCTCGTCTGTTTACACCCTTTCTTTAATTTTACGAAATTATTTGCGTTTTCTATTTTGCTTTTACTAATTTTAAACATTATAGTAATTATATTTTTTATAATAAAAATAACGCATCTATGATTCATAGCCTATAAAAATACATTTCCGCCAAATGAAATCAGTAATTCAAGCCATCTAGTGTAGAGAATTTTAAAATATAAAAAATGAGCCAGCATTTCCCATTTTTTGTTCATTTTTACCCGGCCACGAATGGGTTAAAACCCTCAAAATGCTTTGTCCCCATCTTCCCTTTACATAGCCTGATTTTTAAGCAGCACAGTAAAACACAACACATTATCTCATATCTTCTGAAATTTCTCGGATCTTGTTGTATAACTCCGCTTGCTATGGCACGGTTACTCTCTTTTCATGGCTTAAATGACTGAACATTACAGCAAACAAGTGTATATAATAAAAAAAACATAACGGAATCCAAGGAGAAAAAGGCATATACTATACATCTCAGAAAAGTGGAACAAAAATAAAATATGGTGGGCAGATGTCAAATGATGCTAGCTTCAACCTACATGAACTAACAGGTCACCACTTCCACTTGTGCTAGGAACAGTGCTAGGTATCACTGAGCAACTGAGCATGTTACATTACATAAAACTCAAAAAATGTCTCCTATAATGTTTCTGTTTCAGAAAAATAAAGTATATGATAAATTGACTGAATTGATTATAATAACTAATTTTCAAAATCAATATGGATATAGAAAGAAAGGAAGAAAACAAGAAAAAATAAGGAGATAAAATCCCATCCAAAATGTGTACTAGTGGTGGGGTGGGGGTCTTAGCAAGCGTAGCAAGGCCAAAAGTTAAAACAAATGAGACTTACCAATAGTGCTTCCAAAAAGTCTTCCATATTGACTGTTACCATGGAATCTGGAGCCTCCGATTCACACATTTCTCCAAACTGTTTGAGAAAACTATTCACTTCTTCCATCAAGGTTGCACCTTCTGTCTTTCCATAAAGGCAATCTTTTCTCCTGAATAATGGATAAACAATCATTTAGTTCAGAAAAATAATGACATTTTGAAATAAATATCAGACTGAATATCACATTATACATCATCAATTTTGCAAGATACCTAAATTGAAGAGATATTGCAGATTATAGAAAAAAAAAGTAAGATTTCTGTATTGGGGGTGTATTGTCCAGCATTAAAGAAACGTTTAACTACTTTTAGTGACATTAATCTTATAATTCTATGATGTACCTCAAAACTTACTAGGCTGAAAATGTTCTACTTTCTCTGCATATCACGCATAAATTGTGTAACATGCTGAAGTTTAGAATAATTCTAAAACAAGACCTGTGTTTGTTCCTGGGCACCAGACTATCTTCAACTCTTACCTCTTCCATGCTAATCCCTGAGACTTCTCTACCAGCTTCTTCAGGTCTCCAGCAACATAGCCTGGAGTTCTTAGGGCTATTTCTTCAAAGTTCCCTTCAAAAGATATTCTATCACACATCACCTGTAAAATAAAGTTACTTCTGAGACAATCTTAGGTAAACTTCTGATAAAGCAAAAAATATCATAAAAAATCCTGGATAATGTACCACTAGATTTGCTTTGGAAATCCATTTGACTGGTTAATAAAAATTTGCACCCATTACAGAGGTAGCAATTAAAATCCTGCACCAATCCGACACACCTGCTGTTCTTAGCTGCCATGAAACCCATATATATTTCACAAGATAGATATGATCTGAGTATCCAGAACAGTAATTAATTGTAGCATGCAGTTTTACAGTATTGTTCAAGAACAATATGGTATATAATACATATATATACACCTTTTAAGACTCATGTTTACTGAGCAAGAGTGGTGATGTTATGGAAAACATGGGTGGGAGTGATGGTGGCAAGGAAAACCACTGGATGTGAAAATTATTTATATTGTTTGTTTCACTCTCTATAATATAATACACACATTTGCCTACTTTGACTTTCATCATTTCATTCAATTCAGATTATCACATTTATAGTAACAGTGAGATAAAACTAATAATATTATATAGGACTTTGACTTTCAGCTAGGGGAGATGTGCATTTTCATTATAAGCTAACAATTTCATTAGTAGTGGTAACATGGTAATGGTTAACATTATTCTTGTAATAACCCCCAAAAATAGAATACAACTAAACAATATGAACACATCTACAAGGGAACAATTATGAATAACTTGAACGTACCTGCAATATCCTCACTCGGGCTGGCTCTGTTGGAATGTTCATAAATATCTCAGAGTCAAAACTGCTACGGAGATCCAAGTCCAGGTTTTCTGGATAACTTGTTTCAGCCAGCACCAACAGTTTTGTATCTTTGTGCTTGACTTTGAGATCTGGGGAAAATAGCAGAAATAGAGGGATACACAATACAAAGAGCTATCATTTTTTTCACTCTGCAGCAATACCTTACTTTGTAAGGACTATCACTGTTCAAATCTACAGATAGTAATTAATGATTCTACAAAGAAGAAAAATAGCAACTACTGTACACTCTGATAGAAAAAATATATATAAATGAGAACTCTCTCAGAAAAGGATATAATGCACAGATGCAATGTTAAATATCACAATATACATGTACCTTAAAGATAATAAATCAAAACATGGAAAAGGAAAGAAAGAAAGAAGAGGGGAAGAAACAAGGCAGTAGTAAAAGAAAAGAACAAGGAAAGAGAGAAAATACAAAAAAGAAAGAAAGAAAAAAAAAGGAATAGAAAGAGATTGCTCTTTTTCAGTGCAAACATAAGTGGCCTGATCACTGTCCTCAGCATTTAAAGAGCTCCCAACACTCACTGTTGAGACATGAAGAAAACTGGGCCCCAATTCTTTTCTCCATGCTCTTTGCTGACACCAACTTTGGAGCAACAACTTCAATTTTCTCTATCAAAAGCACACAGGGTGCGAGTGAGGCTGCTTGCTCAAACACCTCTGTGATCTTCTCCTCGCTCTCTCCTGAGACCCCACCAATCAATTCAGTTGCTGTGATGCGTAATAGTGAAACCTCAGCAGTCTGGTTGAAAAGAAAAGCAAGGCTACGAGTAAATTACATACCAACTCAGTGAAATTACAGAACAACAGTACTTCACATATGCTCCTTACTTTTGCATCAATGATTTTCAGAATCTACAATAAATAAAAAATAAAAAATCATAATATCACGTTCATAATAACATGATAAGTGCTAAACAGACGTAAATTCCAGAGAACTGAAGGAGTTGCTTACCCCAGCCAGTGCTTGGACAAAGGTAGTTTTTCCACTTCCTGTTGGGCCTGTGACGAGCACTGACTTCTGGAGAGGCTGTAAAATTCCAGGCCATCGGAGATTTGCAAGCAAGTCGCAAATTTTCTGGGGAGGGAAATTAAAGATTTTTTAGTTTTTGTTTTTTTGTTTTTGAGCTTCAAGGTAGCTTTTGATAGTAGAGCCCCTGAATAGTATGTCAGTCAAAAAAACAATGCACTAATTATATTTTCTGAATTTACCCATACAAAATGCAAACTCAGTAGATGAATTAAAAGAAACTACATTATTACTGTTTCAAAAAGGATCCATAAAAAAAGAGTGAGAAAGAGTGAAAAGAAGAAAATTACTTGGTCAAATTTCTCTATGGGTATAACCAGCTTTTACTCCCTAAATTAATAAAAATGGCAAAAACATATATTTTTTTTTATTATTTCCAAATGCTAGATCTAAAAGGGGAAACCCTTTTAAGATACTATAAAAGACTATTAAGTCAAACACCAGTAAAGAATGCAGTTTTAGGAGGGGATTCTTTGAGGGTATGACCAAGTGACAGACCAAGTGCTTAGCAATTTCCAGTGTCAGCCACACAAGGGAGAAATCAGATGCATCAGAAACATAGATTTTCCCACCCTTTGATGGCTGCAGCATATATAATTTAAAGGCTTAGAAGTGACTTAAAGCCCAATTTTGAGAGGCTGTAACTTATTAATGACTGCAGGCATGGTCAGAGAAGTGAAAACTGTTTAGTACACACAACAACAACAACAATAATAACAATAATAATAATATATGGATATATGGATTAAACTATTCAGTAATCTAATCCCAACTCTACATCAACCAATTAAAAAAATAACATGCAAACCTGAAAAATATATATTACGAGTAATGCAGAGAAAGGTGAGAAAACTGAATAAACCTGATATGGTTTCTCTGCCATGTCCTGGTGAATACTACAAGTACAATAATAACAATAATTGCAATAAATAAACTTACATCTTTCAGCAATTCTAAGCCAGCCATCTCGGCAAATGTGATTTCTGGCGTTTCTGGCTGCAACTGTTTTCTTTTTTTCCTTTTATTTCCTTCTACATCCATCTCTTTCTCCTTTTTCCTTTTCACCTTGGCACTTTTCTGCACCTTGAACAGACATGAAGCATATTAAAAAACTAATACGTGAAAAAAAAAAAGTCTTATACCTTTGGTACACGAAACCCCAAACAAATAAACAAAAATCATATAAATTACACACATCACCCTATAAGCTTCTTTAATTTTGACAAACTTAAACAATACTCCATTAGCTAAGATAACATTTTTAAAAACAAAAATTTAAGAAAAATAACACTGTAAAACTATAGTTACCTCTGGGGTTCTGATGCCATTTAGAGAAATATCACCACCTGTAGTGTCAATGACAAAGAAGTCATTATCTCTCATTCTGAAATGATAAGAATTGTAGCATACAATATATGGTAATACAGTATCAACAATAATAATCATAATCACAAAAAGGATAGTAGTAGTTGTAGTATATCAATAGCAGTAGTAATAGTGACAAAAGTAGTAGAAGTTGTGATAGTGATAGTGATAATGATAGTGATAGTAATAGTGAGAGTGATAGTGGTAGTGGTAGTAGTAGTAGTAGTAGTAGTGGTAGTAGTGATAGTGATAGTGATAGTGATAGTGATAGTGATAGTGATAATGATAGTGGTAGTATGGTAGTAGTAGTGGTAGTAGTATTTCATATCAATCAATCTCAAAGAGGAAAGTGAGGCAGTTTAACCCCTAACAATCTATTCACCACAATCATGGCTAATGTGGAAATCGAGGCATAATGTAGTTTAACCCCTAATGATCTATTCATCATGATCACGGCTAATTGCACAACACATACATAGTCCTATCTGGTACAATCAGGGACGACCTCTCAAAACCTTGTGGATTATTTTCCTTAGATTTTTTCTCTATCAAAGATGTATGTAGTGACCACAAATACATCTGGTACTCTTGGACAAATTTCCTTCCACCAACACCTACAATATCAACCCACATACACTCAACTTTCTTGTAAGTCTCTCCACCCCTATCTTCTTGTGAATGACATAGAGGGTGTGTAAAGTAGTAATTCACGCCAAACCCTTGATCTTTTCCTCATCCCACAAACTTCCACACACCATACTATTATGCATCACAAACTAGTACATCATTGTATTTTTGCTATTTACATATCAAGATCTAGATATATCTAAATATGAATTTTATTGTTTAACATTTCTAGATTTATATACATACATATATATATATATATATATATATATATATATATAATATATATATATATATATATATATATATATATATATATATATATATATATATTCATGCTGAAGGGTTTGAGGATATTATTACAGCAACATCACTGGAAAATAAGGTTTAATAACAATA